AACAAATGCTTATTGACTGACTGACCCATAGGAATGGGATGCACTAGGAGGTAGGAAAGATCGCCATGTTCCCTTTCCACCCCGGCAGACATCAAGTGATGATGGCCTTTCTAGCCATGACAGACAACACCAGGTCCACTCAATTTGGTTGCTCAATTTTCCAAGCAGCCACCCCCCGCCCAAGAACAAAGAGAACTCTGGTCTGAGTGTGTGCTGGCCTGGCTACCGTCCAGGTAATGGAAATAAAGACAGGATGGGAAGCGCTCCCCTTGTTCAGAACTCTTCTCCCTCTTTTCTTTCCCCTTATTCCTAGTCCAGGCACTCTGGAGTTGCCTAAAGGTCTGGTCTGAGTCTTGGGGATAGAAGGAGAAGGGGGCAAATTCCCTCTATCCTCCTTAGTGACTGTTGTAACCCAATCCCAGCTGAGCAGATACCTTCTCTGCTCTCATCAGTCCCCCTTTCCAATGAAGAATGGACCGGTTGGCAAATACAGGGGTGGGGAGAAGATGGGTGCTTTCCATTTAAAGACCAGGAAACCCAAATTAACCTTTATCTTTCAACAGTTCCATTTGGAAAGTGGGTCCAGCTCCAAGTGAGAGGAAAGAGAACCACAAGGCTCATGAGCGGATTTAATAGTAATGTCAGCTAAAGGGGGGCTCCCAAAACTGAGCTCCATTTTTTTATTTGTTAGTTGCAAATACTAAGCATTCTTTTAAATGTGCATGCGTGCACACTCTCTCTCTCTCTCTCTCACACACACACACACACACACTTGATAGGCCAGAAAAGACACTTTTCCTTCCCTCTCCAAATCATTTATTAACCAAGGACTTGTGGCCAAGGAAGGAAGGATTTACTGAGTGCCTATTATGTGTCAGGCACTGTGCTAAGAACTTTATAAACATTATCTAACAACAACCTTGTGAGGTGGGTGCTTTTGTGATTGCCACTTTATAGTTGAGGAAATTAAGGCAGATAGAGGTTAAGTGACTTGCCCAGGGTCACCCAGCTACTAAGTGTCAAAGAGTGGATTTGAACTCGGGGTTTTCCTGACTCCAAGGTCAGCATCCACTGTACCACCTGACTGCCTCTAGTCAAATGTAAAGAGCCCTGACTTGAGATGGCTCAGATACTTATTGGCTCTGTGACCCATGTAAGTTACAATCTCTCTGTTCCTCAGTTTACTCATCTGTAGATTGTACAACATACTGCCCTACTGAGCTGTTGGGAGGCAAGTGCCTAAGTTTATATCATTATTAAGGATTCCGGGATTCAAACCCTCAAATACGAACATTAAATTTCTAGCAGGGGAAATATTTCAAGGACAGCACAGGCCTGATCTATCCCGGGGTAGCAGCCGGGTACCAATGGGCAAGTCCTCATGGGCTTTTGCCACCATGACTGTTTGGAAAGTACACTTTGTTCCCTGATGGGCCAGGCCACACACCCCCTGGCACAGAGCCCTGGTCGCTGGATGCCTAGCTCTCCAGACCTGGGGAGATGCCAGTAAGAGCTGAGAAAAATACAAAAGACAAACTTAAAATCCTGTTTGCAAGGCTGCAATCTTCTGCGAGGACCAGGAATGAAAAAAGGTTTCCTCAAATTTCTTTCTCCAGCTTCAGACCGCATGTGCCCTTACCCTCTAGGCTGAGGAAGGGTCTTCTTCTCACTGGTGGAAGGGTTTGCAACAACCTTAGCAAGGACCCTGGGCCCACTGCACTGAGAATCTCATACAGAACCGCAGCATCTAGGCCTGGGCTACCTGCGTGAGACTTCTGCCTATGCTTAGCTACAGTATATCACAAGAGCTATTTTTACCCAAGAGAAGTCAGCTTTCTGCTGAGGCGGTAATCCTGGCTCCAGAATCTTACCCTTTCCCCTGCCTCTCTGGTCTTCTGAGACTCGGGGGGAGGGAGGAAAAAGTACCTAGAGATGCTGAGAATCGAGCCCCAGAGGGACCACCCAGATCTTCCTTCTTCCTATGAGGCACTCCATCGTCTTCGGAGAAGCCCTGAGGTCCTTGGGCCAAGCTCCCATTCCCTGCTGTGGGGCTCACAGGAGGATTCCTCCTTCCCCTCCCTCAGGGTTTTTCCTTATGTTGGAGTTGGCTAAAACCCCCAGGTGATCCCTGGTCTGGGGAAACTACCTCAGAAGAGGTTGGCAGGCAGAGGGTGACAGGGGAACACACGGACCTCAGATGAGCCATCTGCTGCTCGTCTGACTTGCAAGCCGGAGCCTGGAATGGCAAAGCCCAGTGGCAGTTTGTGGCACACACACAAAACGGTCCATGGTGGGGGCGTGTACTGCCCATGTGTGATGGGGAAGGGTTGCTAAAGCTAAGGCCAAGAAGTCACTAGCACCAGCCTTAGCATCATACGTATCCCCTCCCCAGGCCTCAGGGAAGATTAGTCAGTCCACTGCAGGTGAGGATGATAAATGAAGAAGTGATAAGATGATAGTGATGCTCACTTGTACAGAAATGTATTCCCACCCCCAGGGGCTGAGATAAGAATGGACCCTGTATGGAGCAGCTTTGGATCCACTGAAGACCCCCCCTCAAAGAAAGAGACCAGCATTAATGGGCAGGAGGAGGCCTCCCTTTGCCCCCCTGAGCCATCTCTGGCAAGGATCCATTTCCCTCACACAGAAACTCCTCCACCTTCATTCTTTCATACATGTGCTGAGCACTCTGCGAGGCTGTGGAGGAGGGGTTGTAGAAGCCATGGTCCATGCCCTCCCAGAGGGAAGGGTCAAGAATCAGAGTCTGAGGCTGTTACTGTGGCAGGGCTGGGGAAAAGCAGAAAATAAAACAGAGCAGAGGCAACCAGCCCTGGGCCTGAATGACAAGCTGGACAGAGGACTCCTTGGGCATCACACGCGGGAAGCCACTGGACATGCTCATGTTGGGAGTAGACCTGGTACAGCTTACCCCATTTTTCTGGGTGGGAAACCTGGATCTATCTATCTGCCTGATGTGATAAAAATCACCCAATTCGACATCTATCATGAGTCACTTTTCAATATTCAATAATAATAGCTAGCATTCATATAGAACTTCCACAGATATATGCCACATATATTTGATCCTCACAACCACCACCATAGGAGGCAACTGCTATTACTACCCTCATTTTACAGATGGGGAAACAGAGGAAGTTAAGTGACTTGCCCAGGGTAACACAGTTAGTAAATGGCCAAGGCTGAATCCCAACTCCTCAAGCCACCTTGATGCCTCTAAGGCATGGGAAATACAAGTGACCACTGGACTAGGGGTGACAGGACCCAGAATCCCAACCCAGTTCTGCTACTTACAAACTTTTGTTTTTGGTTTCTTCATCTATAAACCTAAAGGGATTGCAAGAGATGATTTGTGAGGTCCATTCTAGCTCTAATGGTCTATGATGCTTATGATTGAATTTATAGGGACCTTGGAATTGTCTTATCTAATCAACCTTTCCCCTCATTTTACAGATGGGAAAGCTGGAAACCAAAGCTTGGAGGTCATGTGCATTACCCAAGTTCACAAAAACCATCTCAAGGGCTGGGGATCCAATCTGAGTGCTACTGCCCCCAAATTTTGATACTCTCTCCATTAAACTACAGCAATGTCCTTCCATCTTCATTTGGTAAATGCTCATTGATCATTTACAGCCTGGAAAATCTCATGCCAGGGCTAAGGGAATGAATACAGAAGTCATGGCTCTTCCCCTCCTCCTAGAGGGCAGAGTTTGGCGAGCTGGGCAGAAAGTAGGTGCCAAGATAGCCACAGCTGGTCTTGTCCCAGCCCTGGTGCATCCATCCTGGAGGAAGGAAGGAAGGAAGGAAGGGGATTTCCTGCTCTGACTGTCTCCACCGGACCTTGAAGCCATCCCTTTTTGTGGAGTGAGGGTTTGGGAATGTGGAGCAGGGGGACAGAACAAGGGGAGGCAGAGAGCCCCTCAGCAGGATAAAGCAGGCTAGGATAATGGCACTAGGGATAGACAACCACCATGCTTGAATGGATGGGGATTCTCAGGTGGCGCCAACTGCTTCATTTCTCCTAATGATCTAAAGCTCTGTCCCTCTAAGGACCTTTCACATACCACTGGTAGAAAACAGGGACCCATCTCTGCTTCAGGAAAGACCTAACAAGAGGAAACAGGTCCAGTGTTCTACTAAACAGGCTCAAGGGGAAAAAATCCAGGAAATGCCCCCAATTCTAGTTCAAGCTCTTGCTGTATAGCCTGAGGCTAGTTACTTCCCCTCTCTGGGACTCTATGTCCTTAGTGATACAAGGAAGGGGCTGGCCCAGCTTCTCTGTCATGCTTTGATTCTGGAAGCATACCTGGGAGAGTAAGGTGAGGACAGAGGGTAGTCAGAATGGGAGGGGAGAATGTAGAGCAAGGGTTCTTTACCTGGTATCGGTTTTTTTTGGGGGGGGGGGCCACCTGGTATCAATTTAAAAAAAAGTATTTTGATAATTCAATTTCATTATAATTGGTTTCCTTTATCATCCTATGTATTTTTATCTTTAGAGGTATGAAAATATGATTCTGAGAAGGGACCAGAGGCTTTACCAGACTAATGGTCCATACTTACACACACAAAAGGTGTAGAGTCTAGGTTCTAGACTGATTTTCTCATTTTATAGCAGAAGGAGGTGAAGATCAGAAAAATTAAGGACTCAGTCACAAGATGGTAAATTAGCAGAGCTGAGATTCGAACTCAGGTCCTCTGACTGTAATCCGGTGCTTTCTCTGCTACACTACATTGTTTCTCTTGACCACACACACACACACACACACACACACACACACACACACACACACCCACCCACGTTCCCTTCATGAGTTTTCCTGCTAGCCCACAGCACATACTATTTCAGGGGATTGGGGCTCACTCTCCAGGGAAGGGAGGGGATAAGTGTAGGAAGCTTAAAACCCCAACCTCCCTGTTCCATCCATTGGATGTCCCATCCATCGGACTTGGTGCTTGGATGACACCATCTCCTCCTTTCTTACCTCGAGGTTCCTCTGCCTGCTTTGCGAGTTTGCGCAGGGCGGCGGCGAAGCTGGAAGAGGGCGCTGCTTGCACTGACAGGTTGCTGGTGGCTGCAGGGCTGCCATTGGGTACAAGGGAGCCATTGAGAGGAGAAGGAGTCAGGGGGCTGACGGTAGCAGTGGTCCGAGTCGCTGTTGAAAGCATTCCTAGTGAAGGGGACTTTGGCTCATGGCTCATGCCTGAAACAATGAAAAGAAGAACCAATCACCAAGGAGGGGAGGGAAAGGAAGGACCAGTCACTGGGATAACACCTAGAGGCCTGGAGCAGGCAAGGGGGTAGCTGGGGAGACGCAACTACATGGAGCAGTAGGAAGCAAGACAGGCATCTCAGAAAAGACCAGCTGGGGGGGGGGGGGGGTAACGTTCTCTTCACCCCCTCCCCCAGAGATAGCAACACACGGATGGACGATCTAGCCAGTGATCCCTTTGAAGCTGGTTAGACTCAATTTTCATGGCGGACTATGGTGGATGGTCTTTGAAAATGGGCCATCACCATGACACAACCCCAGCTTATACTGGGGGGTAGATACCTGCTGAAACCCGTTTGGGGACGTTCCCTCAAAATTGGTCAAAGATCCAAAAAACCCTATCCCTAATGTTACCTCCCTCTGTCCTCTGTACCATGCCTGGGGCAGGGAATCCACAGAGTGAGAAGAGGAGGGTTCTGGCTGACTCTGAAGGACACGTTCACACTAGGTGAGAACCCCACCCCCCCATGCCAGCAGAGTCCCTTCTGCCAAGCCTTGGTCAGGCAATAAAACAAGGCCAAGCTAGGCCTAGAATGCCACCTTGGAGATCCTACCACCAAAAATACAGGCCCGATAACTTTCTTATGAGAAAGGTGACTTCAACAGGTTTTGATGAAGGGTAGGGAAAGGGGCTGGGGTAAGAAAGAAAGAAAAAAAAAAAGGAAGTTAACCTAGACCTTCGAAAGCTGTTTGTGGTCCCCTAATGGGGCCCTTACTACATGCCCACTAAAAATAAAGCACATTAAAAATAAAAACTGGGCCCCACAGAAACCTCATTTCCCACTCCCGAGCCAAGTTCAGGCTCTGAAAGCTCCACACCAGCTGACGCTCCTGTTCCCACCTGCAGCAAAGGCCTGTCATGAGCAGGGGCCCCGAGGAGCAACCAGAGATGACATCAGGTTTCCCCCTCCCCCCACAAGGGGCACAAGTTCCCCTATTTTCTCTTCCCCGTAAGGAGTTCAGCTCTCAATTTCCCCTTTAAGTGTCAATGAAAAAGCTGTGTTCTTCTCGTACAATCAATAAAACCTTGGCTCGCGTTCAACCCAGCTCTGTCTCAGCACAAGGAGGAGGACCAGGCCATAAATAAGTTTTCCATTAACATTTTCGGCCACCTGCCCAATTTCTGAGCCAGAAAGGGCAGCCCTGACACCGTCCACCGTCCCCCTCTCCCTCAAGGTGGGTACATTAAAAAAGAGTAAATCAAAGGCCTAACGGAGACCATACTCTCAGACATAAGCCCAATGGCCAGCACGGTTGGCACTCTCTGGTCAGGCTGCCTGCACCAGGAATAAATTAGCTTCCCTCAAACAGAGCCAGAAGCTGCAAGAATGACAATGGTTTAAAACAGGGGAGAGGAGAAGTTACCAACTGCAATCACCTCAAAAATATATGCGAATGAATAAGAGGGAAAATGAGCAGTCCAAGACAAGGAAAGTTGTGTGTGTGTTGGGGGGGAGGGGGGGGACCGGGGACAGGGAGGGCCCCCCTCGGGTTACAAACAGCCCTTCCCTGAGCAGGTATTCTTCAGACAGCCAAGCCCACCCCGGGTCAGGTCAAAACCACTCTCCATCTGCGAAGGAGAGCCTCTTTCTCAGGGGATTCCCCTGACGCACAAGTCTATTCAAAACAAGCCTAATTGGAACATGCCCCCACCCCCCCTTCCCCTTGCATCCCTGCAGACGAGCAGGCTGAGACGCAGGCGCCAAAACAGGCCGAGTGTGTTCACGAACTAACTCCCTCCCCCGCTGCCAATCCTCCACCCCGCTGTTGGATGGGGAAGGGAAAAAGAAAAAAAGAAAAACTACCAGCTTTCACCCAGGGAACACAGTAACTGTGCAGGATCTGGGATCAGAAGCCAAAGCCTGCCTCCATCTTACAGATGAGGACCAGAAGGGGCAGTGACTTGCCCAAGGTCACCCAGGAAGCCAGAAGGAAAAGGCAGGATTCAAACCTGGGTCTCACCTTCTCTACGAGGTCTTCTCCACCCCTCAGTGCTACTTTTCCTTGGAGATGCCCTTCTATTTATCCTGTATGTATCTTGTTTGAATGTGGTTCCCCCTCCTCAACCCCACTCTCCACTTAGCACGTGAGCTTCTCGGAGGCAAGGGACGAGTTTTGGCCTTTCTTTGTATCCCCAGCACTTTGGTGCCAGGCATGTAATAAGTGCTTAATTGATTCACTGGTGGGAGCTGTTCCCTGCCCCCATCCCTCAGGGTTTCTCTGTCCCCTTAGAGGCGCATTTCTCAAAGGCAGGTCATAGGAAGAGATGACTATGAGAACAGCACCCCCCCAAACACACATACACTGTTTACTGTTAAGAGTTCTGTGACTACCTTTTCTCCATATTCCCTTAAAAAAAAAAAAAGAAAGAAAAAGGTTCTAAATCTGACCCCTTCCTCAGGCATGAGAAGGGGCAGGGGCTGTGTGCCTGGCCCAGCCCTCTTCATTCTGGCAGTAAGGACTGGTTGGGGAGGCAGGAATCTTGGGGTGGGTGGTGGGTGGAGGACGGAGGATTTTTTTTTTTTAATTTAATCAAGAAGGTCTGGAAAATTGCCGCCGAGTTCAATGGGGTGAAGAGAGAGGGCGAGCTGGGGAGTGCTGGCAGCGCTGGCTCACCTAACAAAGCCCCCGCCAGCCACAGAGGCAGGCTGCCCACTGAAAGCAAGCTGGCCGAACAGCTGCTGAGGCGTCACATGACCCCGGCCAATCTATAATATCCAGGGCTGCGGGGAGATAACAGTGGTGGTTTGTCAGCAGGCCCGAGCAGCAGGCCCTATTGAATGTGTCTGAGGCAGCATTGATCCAAGCATTTGACCCCTCTGTGTCCTCGGTTCTTTCCAGTGCTGAAAGCAGGAGGGGGGCGGAATGGAGAGAAGGGCTGGGGCTGTGGGCCGCCGCCAGCAGACTGGAGGAGGAGGGAGTCAAAAAGAGACACAAATCTACCCTTCTACTACAGGGCTTTCTCGCCCAGCAGCACATATTAGCATCAGAGAATCTGAACTGTGACCTGAAACCTCAGAGATCAATTATCAGTCTCACTCCTACAAAGGCTCAGGGAAATAAAGTCACACATGACCAGAGTCACACAGGAATGTAAACCAAGGTCCTGACTCCACTGTACCTTAAGGAGCCCTTACTCCTACCCCACCCCCATCTCTAAACCGAAATTCCTCGGCTCATAGGCAATATTTGCTTGGCTGGAAGAATCTGTCACCCCTAAGCTTCTACCAATCCCCACCCAACTACTCCCCTGGATTTCTGCTCAGCTGATTGATAAAAAGCACCTTGGAGATAATTTATCTAACCTGATCTCATTTAATAGGTGAAGAAACAGGTCCACTTCAGGCAAGTGACTTACCCAAAGGCTTACCAGGCAGGCTTCTAACTTGAGTTGGCTCATCCTGAATTTTCTTCCCTCTGTCCCATATCCTGCCTACCTGCCGTGGCCTCTCCCTCTCATCACTCGACCCTATACACAGTACTAGAAACATGAGGGCTCTTCCTTGGCTAGGTGCTGGGTCTGGAGTTAGGAAGACCCGAGTTCAAATCTGACCTTACTTACTGGATAGGTGACCCTGGGCAAGTCATTGCAACATCAACTGCCCTCAGTTTCCTCATCTGTAAAAATGGGGATCAATAACAGCAGCTATCTCCCAGGGCTCTTGTGAGGATCAAATGAAATAATATTTGTAAAGCACTGAGCACAGGCACATAGTAGGCGCTATATAAGTGTGAGATATACATACATATGTAAATATCCAAACATTTGAGATATATGTTGTTGTTACTGTTATAGCCAGTTGAACAGATGCCAGGCGAAGACTGAGACTCTTGTCACTGCAAAGAAAAAGCCGAGGGGTTTACAGATGTGGGGACACTGGCCACTGCTAGGGTACGATGGAGACTGGGATATTCCCTTTCTCCTTCCACTCTGATCCAGAAAGAATCTAAGCAACCCCTCCCCCTTCCAAACAAAAGGCCAGAGTGTTATCAACTAGGGATCCACCTGGAATGTTTGGGCTGGCATTAGGTGGGTCCCTTCCAAAGACCCCTGCTCCTCCCTCTTGATCAAATTTATTCACAGGAAAGTCAATGTCAAACACTTCCTGAGGGCCTACTATGTGCAAGGGTAAAGCTCTTATTCCCCAGAGGCTGGGTGGGGAAGCCAAAACATACACAGGACCAGGAAAGGCAGCTGCAAGGGTAAGGTGAGAATACAGACCCTGGAAAGAAAATACTGCCCCACCAACCACCCTCCCCTACACTCTGCGGTTTACTTGTCATATGACCTTAGGCAAATCACTTAACCTCTGAGTCACTGATTCCTCAAACTGCAAAAGTGGCCTGAGCAATCTCAGGTAGTAATAATAATGACAACATTTTAAAGTTTGCAAGGTGTTCGACAAATATCTCATTTCATCCCCACAACCGAGGGAGGTAGGGCCTATTATTATCACCCCCATTTTACAGAGGAGGAAACTGAGGCAGACAGCAGCCAAGTGACTAGTACAAAGTCTGGACTGGATCTGAACTCAGGTTCTCCTGACTCCCAGACGCACTCTATCCACTGGGCCATCCCCTACCTCTGTCTCTTAAGTCTATCAGCTTTAAAGCCTCCATTTCTAAGACAGGGATGGAAATCATCAAAGGCTGGGGGCTCCATGGAGGAGCTGAGCCTCCAAAACTGAGCTTTAAGGCAAGGTAGTGAAAAGAACACTGGCTCTAAGAATTGAGACCTGGGCAGTTAGAACTCAGGGCCAGTCTTTCCTCCTGAGAAGACTGCATCTCTTCTGTCCAAAGAAGGGTGTCAGATGCAATGATTCAAGGTCCCTTCCAGATCTAAAACAGATCTCAAGTCCACACATGTGCCTGGATAGCACAGATCTCCCTGTCCACAGGGAATAGATGCCCATCTTTCCCATCCCCAGAGA